ACCAATGTATGTTTAAACATTGCTGATATATATGTATAACCTTTCATTTGCAGACTTGTCCTAGTGAATTTAGTAAACAAATACTTAATACTTGCTTATTATCAAAAGATCATGAATTTGTCCTTTCCCTTCCTTCTGATTGGGGTGGAAGATTCAGCCAGATGACCAGGGCTGAGGATCGAATGGTTAGTATTGACATCATTAGGGTCAAGGCTCAGCTGGCCTGGTCCTTGTGGTTGAGACTAGGGTTTCAACTGGTGTTATTAGGGAGTCGTGTGGTCAGGGCAGTGCAGTGGTGGCTGACATATTTGACATATTTGGAGCTAGGTGGCCCAATGCAGCAGCTAGCATTGTCAGGAGGCTGGTACATAAAAAGTAAGCAAATAATATATTTAGGTTTATGGGAGCCAGATTCCTCACTATGAGAGAAAGGAGTTACAAATATGGAAAGGGAAATAGTAAACTCTAAACTATTGAATTAGAATTGAAGGTACTAATGTGAACTCAAGGTTTTTCAATATATATGTATATATAGATACACATATAGCATATGTCTGTGTGTACACACATGTATTTCTTTGATCTGTCTGCCAATAGGGCTTAAAACCAATGGCTCTCCAAAAGCAACGAGCACTTCTCAGGTCTTGGTTTCCATATACTATTTTCCATTTAAAGGAACCAATGTTCCTCAGGAAAAAGTAAAAGATAAGCTTGGGATACCTTCATGTGCCAAAAAATAAGGAAGAGCTAAAAAAAATCAAAAGGACAGGAGAGCCTGGGTGGCTCAAGTCGGTTTAGCGTCCTACTTTGGCTTGGGCCATGATCTCACGGTTCATGAGTTTGAGCCTTGCGTCGGGCTCTGTGCTGACAGTTCAGAGCCTGGAGCCTGCTTCAGATTCTGTCTCCGTCACTCTGCCCCTCCCCTGCTCATGCTTCAGCCTCTCTCAAAAATAAATAAACATTAAAAAAATTTTTTGTTTTAAATCAAAAGGACATAGAAGGAAGGTGTAATAGGCTCCCATAGACCAAATCTGGAAAAAGTTCAGTATCGAAATAAATGATAGTCATATATAGGAATTTACTGAATAAAGGAGGAATCCATAAGTCCACATTGATATAAATGAATAAACAATAAATGAATGGAGAAGGGACTGCTTTTCCTCACATCAATCAAAGCATAAGCAATGATGAATTCACTATTTGGCAACCAGAAGAGTAATAATTGATTCAGGCAACAGGTGTTAATAGACTCAAACTGGTGACAATTTGATGGGAAACAGGACCTTCACAGTCTCAAAAACTCTCCTCACAAAGTTCTTTTCATTAATTTTAAAATAGACAAAACTGATAGATACTATCCTAAACCAAGTGATCGAAGTTAACATGACCAGCAATGGGACAATTTGACATTGTGTATCTCCTGGTAGGATATAATGAGAAGAATATCATTTCTGACAAAAATGTATATCCTGAGGAAAAACTGGATAAACCCAAACTGGATAAACCCATGTAGGGACATGCTACAAAGTACCTGGCTTATACTCTTCAAAAAATCAAGGTCATGAAAGAAAAGACTGAAAAACTGTTCCCGGTCAAATGAGGTAGTAAGACAGGACAACGAAATGCACCATTTGATCTTGCCTAGGGATGCTGGAGCAAAGAACATTGGGACAATCAGCACATTTGAATGTGGTCTATGGATTGGATGTCCTACATCAATGTTAATTTCCTGATTTTGATTGTCATACTATGGTTCCATAGGAGTGTTCTTGTTTCAAGGAAATATCGTTAAAGTATTTAGGCGGGACGGGGAATCATGTCTGCAGCTTACTTTCAAAATTACATTGGATGACCCTACATTTGAATTGATAAGTGATAGGTAAATGAACACCTTTACAATTTTGAGGCTTCCATTCCATGCACATCACAGAGCACTCCATTTTTTCCAAGATCTCTTTAAATGCTTCTTGATGGAGTTTAGATTGTCTCCATGAAGATCTTGTATATATTTTGTTAGATTTATTCTTAGGTATTTCCAACTTATTTTAAGAGATCTTTCCAAAAAATTTTATTGCCTATTAGTTACTGATATGTAGGAATATAACGGACATCTGCATATTATGAATGTAGCAACTTTGCTAAACTCCCGATGTTACTGAATTATCTACATATATAATCATATCAGCACATCAAAACAATTTCTTGCCTCTAGGAAAGAAAAACCCAGAGATTACATTGATGATAACTTATCATAAAATATACAATGGTTGCCACTGAAAGAGACTTTTATAGCTGTACAAATGCTGTAAGCAACACAATGTTAGCTGGAAGTAGTGTCGCTTTAGTATAATGTTTAAATTAATTTTAATCACTCAAGGAAGGGAGGTGTGATTTCATTTGCTTCTGAGATCTCTGGACAAGTCCTTCACAGGGATCATCTCTTCTTCATCTCTACATCAAAAGAAATACATTGCCTGAAGTGCACTAAAAGTGACTTTAAATATTCATAGATGCGAATTAACTTCTCACTATGTAAAATAAGCCTATCTAAGAAAGTCTGGATCAACCCTTCACAAATGACTTCTTGCAAACTTGAATGAGATGCTTTCCACAAACCTTTCTAGTGGCGTGGCAGCTCTAAAAGGACTCCCCACTATTGCTCTTTCCCTTGACTCACATTCTTTCCATGTGTCATAAAACAATTTCCTATGAGGAATTGCTGCCATGTTACTGAGTAGAGTAGGGCACAGTGAGTACTCTAGAAACAGCAACATCTTCTGGGAGATACTTGCTTAATGTCTCAGGAAACTAGAAGCACCCATAGACTGACGGTTTAAGCTGGATGAGACGCCAGAGGGCCCTAAAGACAGAAAGGCCCAAGTGGAACTCTCACATGTGAGCTTTAACAGTAAGGGGAAACAGAGACGCCAGTTGATTCTATGACATATGTTTTGACTCTGTTGTCTCAATACATTAAAAGAAAACTGAAGGAACTTAAAGGTATATTTTCTAAGTTTCATTATGGGATGATGAGAACGTTCTGGAGATGGGATAGTGGTAATGGTTGCAGAATAATGTGAATGTAGTTAATGTTATTGTATACCTAAAAATGGTTAAAATCGCTAATTTTATGTTACACATATTTTACCACAATGAAAAAATTTTTAAGGTGCATTTTATATTGTTAAATACTACCTGATAATACTTAGTAATAACACAGTAAGAGTAGTAACCACCAAGAGTCTGATAACCAGTTTGAGACTTGACTCCAACTGTGATACCAGTGGAACCTAGAGCACATCATAACTAAGCCTCAGTTTCCTTATCTGTAAGACAGGAATAGTAAAGTACTTACCTACATATTATAGGTTGCAGTGAACCTGAAATGAAATCATTTATGTAGGGATTTAGCAGAGTTCATGGCACAAAGAGAGGGCTCAATAAATGTTGGCTCTTATTTACTTTTTAGGTTTTTGAAGCAATATGATTCTTTTATATTCTGTACAATAAAGACTAACAACAAGGCTCCAGAACAAAGGAGTGAGTTACTCATTTCTCCCTAGTCTCTAATGTCATATAGAGCTATAACAGCAATGTCCCATAAATGCATTCCATGTTATATAGTAAGGGATGTATGAGCCCAAGTGTTGGCCATTAAGCCAACAGTTAATAAACCTTAAAGTCTCATGCCCTAAGAGGCAACAATTTCAGAGAAGCCATGAGAACTTAATTTATACATGAGAAGCCATGTATACACACACACATATATTTTTTATCAACTATAACAGGGTCATATAAAAGCATTTTCTACAAATATAATTCACACATAGGAAAAGAGGCTATTTGACTTTTTTAGTCCCTTTTATACCCTATTTTAGGCAAAATAATGAAACCCAGAAAATAACAGGACTGTACTAGTTCTAAAAACTGAGAATTTGATAAATGAAATACATCTGTCCAATCATCTACACCTTCTCTCAAGTTCCAAACAATGATCCTTATCGAACTATACTCTTAGAATCAACTTAAATAAATCTCTGCATGATTTGGATGAAACATACATCGTCAATGGTTAAAAGTCCTGGTAGAAAAAGTACATAGAATTACTTAAAAGCGAAAACATTTCATACCAAAGGAGTGGTTTAAAAAAAAAAAAAACAAAAAACAGACAATATGAAGAGGAAATGCACTGAATTTTAAAACATTTTTGGACCATTATATAAAATACCAAAAGGTTCAGAACTGTTGAACAACAAAAGTTTATGCAGAACAAAGCCAAGAGGTAAAAAAAAATATTAAATGTATTAAAACCATCTAAAGCCAAATAAGGCATAGCTGAACTATGTAATTTAGAAACAAGCTTAAGTGCACTTTCTTTGTACAATTCAATTGACTACCACATGGAAAATCTGACAATTAACCAAAATGCAATTAAATAGAGATTTGCAAGCCTTTTGGCCATTATGTAAATATTAAAAAGTGAACTGCCAACTGAAAAATAAAAGGTTACATATATACCATACAAATGGTCAAAGACACACTATAAAATTGTGTGAACAAAACAATCCTACCAAACAAAGATCTTTCAGGCACTTGCATTCAGAAATATTTCTTTTATAAATAAGCAACGTAGTTTCACTTCAAAAAATAAAGCTGATTTTCCCCAATTGCACCTGTTAGTTCAGAACTATATCATATATTAGGGATGCATTTAAATGAACCATTTTATGGGAAAAATCAACTGAACTTTAAAAAACATGAGTCCACCTATTTATTCACAACTTTAAAAATACATATAATTCCAGTGAGGCACAGATGGGGCCCTATCAAAACAATCTACCATTCAACATAACCAACACAGTATAATGTAATACAACGACAAATAGCAAAATCCATGATTTGGCATACTATACAAAAGGGGCCCTGTCAAAAGTTTCTTTCACAAAACATAATACCACAAAACAAAACAACAAAAAGAGAAAAGCTGAATTCTGACAACCCTACACAAACTGTGGGATTTCATCTTCAAGGTCTTCGAATTGTTGCATTCGTTTTAGCCTTGGTCTCTGACACGCTGGCGGCACATCAGGCAAGTTCCGCTCCTCAGGGCTCTCTTTAGGCTTCCTGGTGGGCTGTGTGGGGGCAGCAGGAGCGTTTTCAGAGTCTGGCACTGTTCTTAGCGCGTGCCCCTGGGGGGTGGGAGTTGTGCTGGGAGGCGGTGCTGGGGAGGGTGCTGCAGCTTTCTCTTCATCCCCTTTCACACCACCCATGGGAGCACGTGGTTTATAAAATGTTGTCCAATGCTGCGGCTGCAGTGTTCTGGGCGCTCGGACAGGAGCAGGAGGACAGGAATCAGAGGACCGTCTCCCAGACACCTGTCTCGCTGGCCTCACTGGTTCTGAGTATGGCTTACTGGGCTGGGCGGCACTGACTGGGTGGCCCCCAGTGATCCTGGGGCTCGTTGTCAGTCCTCTGTCCTGGAGTGCACTGGGCACAGTCACTGCAGTCTTTACAGTTAGGCCATTTTGTTCCCATTGTTGCTCCCAAGGGCTTTGTAGAGTTGACTGCTCAGAGCCATCCAATTTGGAACAACCAACAGAAGGAGTATCTTTCTTACTAACTCCTTCAAAGGTAGGATTCTTGCAAAACTTGTCGGAATTTACAGTCCCCATATTTCTGCCATTTCTCTCATTTGGAGGGCTTGCCAGAAGAAGTAGTTTATCTACAGGCAAACTTACAGGTCTCATCTTGGTCCTTGGAGCATGCCTTTCAACACTGTTTGCTTCCCTATCTGATTTCAGATTAAGTGGCTTGGAGGTTTTACAAACATCATCCATCTTCTGTGATGCTGATTCAAGCTCTAGGTCTATAAGCAAACCCACTTTGTTGTCTAAAAAAGGAAAAGATTTATTTAAAAATCAAATTTCATGGCATGTGGTTAACAAGAGAGTCTGAATGATTTATAGATGAAGAGCCAATCAAAACAGCAGAAGTCTTATGTATTTTTCCAAGTTATTCTCAATTATCTATGCAGAGCTCAATTTGCTGTTTTCAGTTACATTCA